AGGTTTTTTGAAACTGGGTCTCTCTGTGTAATAGCCTTGACTGTACTGGAACTCACTTTGTAAACCAGGCTGGCCTCAAACCCACAGAGATCTGCCTGCCTCTGCCTCCCAAGTGCTGGGCTTAAAGGTGTATGCCATCACTGCCTGGCACAACAGTCTTAAAAACTGGGCAATAGCATTAATTCAGTTTAACAGATAAAATTAGGATGTAGGGAGATGAAATCACTTGCCCAAGGTCACACAACTAGCAAGTTGTAGAACTGGGATCCTAACCTCTCTACATTACCCAGATCCGACTATTCTGGAAGGTCCTGTGTTTCTGTGAGCACATTTCCTGTCTGTTGACTAATAGTGTCATTTGTCTAGTAGCCAGCATGTACTAGACACCACTAAAAACTTTAAACACCATCTCCAACACTTTAACCCTTTAACCAACGAGAAAACCAGATTCCTGACACTGTGGCCTGTGTCACCCCTGGTAAGGACCTGGTAAGCCTGGCAAGGTAAGGACCAGACAGAAGACTTAGTCCTTGGTGTGGCAACCTCTACTGCCTGATGCTTTTCCTCTGTCCCCAGGCAGTCTTTGCCTTCATCTGTATGCCTGGACTATTTCTACTTGTTTGGAGTATTCAATCGTGTCCTGGCATTTTGCTTCTTGAAAATATGTGTGTGGATAGATGAAGAGCTCTCTCATAAACCCTGACATCTTTTATGATGCCATTTGTATTGCCGTCTTAAAAACCTATCATTTCACTGCCTGTGGAGGGTAGCTTTTCAGGCTCTCTTTAGCTGTTCTGTTGAAGATAACCTAATGAATCAACTTCATTGGTGATATTAATCCCGCTCTCTTGTTCTAGATATTCAAGGCTACGTGGCAGAACATTCCCATGAACAACGTGAGTAGAACACAGGCTACCTCAGGAAGGAGGGGCAAAACCTTGAAAGGACATTGTGAAGCCATCCTCATGGGAGAGAAAACGATAGTCTTAGATTTCCATGCCTCCCCCCTCTACAGGGTTTGAGTTTTCTTTAAAAAATAAGACTCAGATGCTGTGTTTACTTATTTTCCTGGCGATCTGTGTTGTCAGGACAACAAGATCTGTTTGCCTAGAATAGGATTTTCTGATGTTCTTGGAGGGGGGATGAAAGCGCAAAGCTAACTCTTGTTTTCGTATCTGTAGGAAGAAAATGGTTTTCTTGTGTGGGATGGCTCCTAGCACAAGAGGAGCTGAATGGCAACGACAGGCAATTACAGTGTTCTGCACTTTGTTCTAATTTGCTTTAATAAGAAAGGCACATAAATTGATGGGATTTTTAGCACCGTGCTAAGCATATCGGTAGTTAGCTTCAGTGAGCGCTTGCGTGCTAGGCACTGAGCTAGTATCTTCACACACATTATATTGTATTGAAACCTCAGACCAAGTCTGTCAGCTCTGTACTATTATTGTCCCTATCTGACAACTGATGAAACCAAACAGAGAGATCAGATCAATGGCCCAAGCTTACAGACCTGGTCATTAGTGGCTGCGAGGCTTGACTGAAGTCCGTCTTATTCCAGAGCCATTGCCTTTCAACCTCTGTGCTGAGTTATGCAAATATTCTGCATGTGATATCTGCCTGGGCTGCAGGAATTTACAGTTCAAGGGTCAGACAAACAGATGAGTGAAGCCGGGCGGTGGTGGTGCACATCTTTAATCCCAGCACTCGGGAGGCAGAGACAGGCGGATCTCTGTGAGTTCTAGGCCAACCTGGTCTACAGCGTGAGTTCCGGGACAGCCAGGGCTACACAGAGAAACCCTGTCTTGAAAAACCAAACCAAACAAACGATAAAAAACACAAGTGGGGCTCAGATCATATAGTTAAGCGGTAAAGTGTTTACCTAGCATGTGCAAGACCCATGGTTTGATTCCCCAGCACCACAAAGCAAAACCATAAATGAAGAAGAAAAGAATAAAGACAAGGAGGTTGGCTGAGCATCAAATGATATAACTGCCCTTAGATATCAGAAGAGGGAGTCAGATGTCAGATCCTCTGGAACTGGAGTTACAGACAGTTGTGAGCCATTATGGGGTGCTGGGAACCAAACCCAGGGATTCTGCCAGAGCAGAGAGCTCTTAACTCCTTGGATGTATCTCCAGTCCTTGTACGGACATTTTAAACCTTTCTTTAGCGCTTAAGTTTTCTTTTGGGAGGTGAGTTTCAAGACAAGTTTTCTCTGTAGCTTTGGAACCTGTCCTGGAACTCACTCTGTAGACCAGCCTGGCCTTGAACTCACAGAGATCCACCTGCCTCTGCCTCCCAAGTGCTGAGATTAAAGATGTGTGCCACCACTGTCCGGCAAGCATTTAAATTTATACTGAATTTCTACCTGCGTTATCTACATTGTTATAATAAAACATGGGCAATTTAGTAAAACATGACATAGTCATACAGAATTGTTCATTTAAACAAATAACAGGAAAGAACACCAGGGTCTATTTTTAATTACTCTAGGAAAACAGGGTTGCCTGAGAATTTTTTTTTATAGACTGAATCAGTGAGTTTCCTGGAGTTATTTAGAAGAGCACGGGTGACCTCAAAACAGCTGCATCACTTCAACGTGCCCCCCTCCTTATGGGGAACGCCTCATGGAGTGCCCCCTAAATGGCGATACACAAGAAAATTATATGAAAATCACTCTTGGTGTTTATAAATAAAGCTTTAATAGGAACACTGCTACACGTCCATTGATTTGTTGTTGTCTGTGGCTGCTGACAGCAGAGCTGAGTCATCACAGTGGAGAGCACAGGGCAGATCCGGAAATGTTGACCTTATGGTCTTTCACAGAAAATGCCTGCCGACTCCTGCCTTAGCATTAATGATTCCAAATCCCCCCCACCCGATTAGCCCTGATAGCTGTTTGAGGGGGGCGTCCAGTACAGAAAGTACAGAACTGTGTACCCCCACCTCAGCACTGATTGTCGTCAGCATTTTGCAATTTGCTTCACATATATTTATAGAGGAAATAAAACAAGTATTATAACATTTTCCTATGCTCGCTGTCTCCTTTCTCCCTCCTTTCCTTCATTTCTTTACTTATTATTTTTAGTTTTTTGAGACAGGGTTTATCTGTGGAGTCCTGGCTGACTTGGAACTTGCTCTGTAGACCAGGCTGGCCTCGAACTCATAGAGATCCTCCTGCCTCTGCCTCCTAAGAGCTGGGATTAAAGACATTTGCCACCGCTGCCCATCTTACTTTGTTTTGTCTTTTTTGAAACAGGATCTATGTAGTCTTGGTTGCCCTATAACTCCCTATGTAGGCCAGATTGGTCTTTAACTTATGGAGATCCTCTTGTCCCTGCTTCCCAAGTGCTGGGCCCAGGAATCTAAGTCTGTGCACCACATGCATGCATTGCCTGAGAAGGCCAGAAGAGGGCATCGTATCCCCTGGAACTGGAGTTCCAAAGGCTCGTGACCTGTCATGTGGGTGCTTGAAATTGAACCCAGGTCCACTGCAAGAGCAGCTGGTGCTCTTAACTACTGAGCCATCTCTCCAGCCCCCTCCCTTAATTTTTAGACCATGGTAGTACCTCCCACACGCTAGGCAAGTACGCAACCTCTGAGCTACATGTCTAGCTGCCTACTTCCTTCTTGGTGTCAGACTGTCATGGATCTAACATGAACCAATTCTCTTTGACTTTTATATCTTTTTATGTGGGCATCACAGAACATGCTGCTAGCCTCCTGAAATCAGAGTGGCTATGCTTGCCTCTGCAAGAGCCCCTCACAAGCGGGAGGAGGCTTCCTTCAGGGAAGGAGTGGGGAGAAAGCCATTAGATCTTCACTGGAGATTTCCCATTTGCTCCCTCCTTCCCTCTGGTGCCCACCCCAAGCTGCACATGGCCCTGGGAGACGCTAGAGTATATAGGAGGGGGAGGCAAGCAAAGGAGAACTCCACCTATGTCGCTTTTGGCAGGTCAACATCCATGCTGGAAATGAGTAAGACCAATAAACTCATTGGTTCACCAAGCTGGGCTTGGACGGAACTGTGCCTTTGATCTGTTGTTGGCGCCCTATTTTGGGTGAATAGACGTTTGTTCATGTCTCCCCAGGCAGTCACTCCAGAGTGGGGCTTAAAAATACACACTGTGCGTAATGCTGTATTCTGCAGCTTGCTCTTTTACTCTACGTGTTTTTGTGCTCTTTTCATTGTGGGTACAGTAGAGATAACCGTCCTTTTGACTATTGTGTACTATTCCATCAAGTCTCGCTCTATTTGCTAGTCCTAACAAATAAATGTGAGGACGCTGAGCAATATCAGAGGTGACCATCTCATAAGAACGCTCACTGAGTTTATTTGTCCGGTCCTTGGAATTGTTTGTGAATGCCTCTGCAGCCTAGAAACACTGGAATAATTTACTAACGAGGGCTGGAAGTCGACCCAGTTGACAAAGAGCTTTGAATCCTCAGTGAGTTTGATGTCTCAACTCGATTCCCTTTTGGCTGCCGGCAGGGACTTGCGGACAGCCACTGGTCAACATCCAAGTCTGAGTTTAGTGACCCCCACCCCAAGGCCACGGGGTTAGCGAGCCCTTGAAATACCCTTTTACTTCAACGTTGTTATCCAACTGGGAGACTAAAGGAGCTTAAGGCTCCTACAAAGTCAAACGCCAAAAAGGGTAAAGAGTGTTTAGCCAGAATAGGATGTGTTTTATCACAGGCATCTAAGCAACCTTATGGGGAGACTCAGAACTTCACTGGGCCATACGGAGTACAGATGCAGCAAAAGGGCGAGCCTGCAGCAGTGGTCAGTGGGGAGGCGGCTGCGGAAAGGGCTTCCCCATAATGGGCGCTGCCCCGAAATCCAGGGAGGGAACAGCCAGACAGGCTCCTGGGTTTCCCCGCCGCCTTTGGGGAACTTCTCGACGCTAGAAAACAAAGCGGCGTGGAGCAGCTGGCAGCAACCGAGACCCACTCACAAACTTGCGGCCTCTGCGCCCGTGCGCGGGCCGGGCCTCGCTTCCTGCCGCCGGACGCCTCCTTCCCCACACCAACCTCGCCTCCGCCCGGGTGCTACTTAAGTCCCCGCGGGACCCGGCGCGCGGCCGAGGCTGCGGCGGGCACGCGCTCTTCCACGCCGGCTCCTTGGCCAATCAGCGCGGAGCCCGAGGCGCCGCCGCGCGCGAGCCGAAGCCCGGGCGGCTCCTCCCGCGGAGAGCCGAACCGGACCGAGCCGAGCCGAGCCAAGCCGAGCCGGGGGCGCAGAGCGCGGGAGGCGGCGGCGCGGAGCCCAGGTGAGCTGGCCCGGGGCGGTCCGGGCTCGGGGGGGGGGGGGGGGTGGGCACGCAGCCGCCCTGTGGGTCTCTGGGTTCGGGACGCGCGCGGCGCCGGTAGACACAGCCCAGAGGCGGGCCCCGAGGGGACCCCACGTGCGCCGCCCCGCGCCCCGCCACGTGGAGGGCTGCGCCCCCTTCCCTCGGGCCTCCGGAGCGGGGCGGCGCTTGGGCCCGGGCGGTAGGGGCCGGCCTGGAGTTCCGCACCGAGGCCGGCCGGCAGGGGCGGTCCCGGGTCCCGGCGACGGCCTAGGCCACCCTTGCGCTTGACAGGTGCGGAACCTGAGCGCGCGGGAGCGTCCCACCCCCGCAGCCTGCGGGGCACGGGGCGACCCCGGCCCTAGGGGTTCGGACACAGGTGCCAGGACCCTGAGTCTGCCCTCTGACCACCCCGACCTCACAGGCCGGCTCGTTCCTTATGACCTAAATTTACCTCAGGGCTGCAGCTCGCGGGGCATGAGGAGTGCATGCTCCGGCCCCCCGGCTCAGCCCCGGGGCTGGTGCCCCGGTGTCACCCAGATTTTGCCAAGGTTCTCCCCACCCCCTGGCTGCCCAGTTTGGGGAACGGGGTGTTTTCACAGCTCTGCCAGCCCCCTCCCGGGCTGCTCTCACTTGGAGACGAAGAGGTGGCACTTTGCAGAGGGATGGAGCTGGGGGTGGAGAACATTTGACGTGCCATGGGCAAAGAAGCAGCTGGGGGTGGGTCATGCCGCGCATTCATTACCCTAGATGCAACTTTTACCTTCCTCAGCCTGCTCTCTGATTTCCCCCAGTCTCAGAGCAGAAACTTCAGGTGCCCTGGGGCATTAACGGTGTCTTTTACTCCTCCTCCCAACTCTGCCCCCACAGGGCTGAAGGGAGGATTGCTGTCTGTCCCCACAGCCTCTTTGTTCTTTGGAAGTGGCAGGGGATGCCACTGTTCCCAAGCCTCCCCACAGAAACTGTGCAGTTTCAGAATAGATTGGGATCAGTGTGCAAAAGCAGCTTCAGTTTGCCAGGTCCTCCTTCTGCACCTTCGGCCGCTCTTAACCAGCTCATCAAGGCAGTCATTAGATGAGCCCCTACCTTGGATAATCGTAGTGACTTTTTTCGTCCTTTCTGGGGGCAAGAACCCAGTGCCAGGAGCATGCTAAAGCACCCTCTACCACAGGACCACATTCCCGCCCCCTAATTAGGACTTACTGAGTTCTTGCTATGTGGCAGGTACTGTTTTGTTGCCTGCATTATCTTATTTAATATTTACCCCAAATCTTGTTTGTCAGGGAGTTTTGCCACTTTGGTCGAGAATAGGAGGTTAAGGTTCCTAACACTCCTTTAGTATTGAAAGGCTCAGAAAGGTTAGTTAACTTATCTGGGATCACACAGACAAGCGAGGCTTCCCTCACCTGCTCGGGGGAGCCCAGGCCTTTTTACTAAGCAATGTATAAGGCCACAGATCTCAGGAGGTCCTGCGGTCCTGTCAGAACTCCAGCTTGTCCTTCCCTCCAGTTGCTAGTGGGCTAATAACTAGGCTGTAGTTCTCAGGGGGGCAGTTCTACCCTCCTGGCGAGCATTTGAAACATGTGGGAGTAACTTTTGGTTTGTCAAAGTGAGACTAAGCGCTCTTGGTGTTTAGTGGGCAGGAGCTGGGGAATGCCAAATGTCCCGTAAGAATGTCGCTACCCTAAATACCAGGGAGAAATGTCGTAAGCCTCAAGTGCTGGGGCAATGGAGGGATAGCCACAAGGTGCGTTCTGGAGAAATCTGCCGAGCCTTTGAAGATGGGCTGAAAAGTGGAGGGAGGAGGAGAGGGGATGAGATGGGGCCCAGCTCAGCAGAAGGAGTTTGTGCATTGGGTGTAGACAGTGGTGCGCTCTGTTAGCTGGGAGGGGACCGCTGGGTGGGGCAGGCCAAACTGCTCAGAATCTAACACGGCCCACTAGTCACCCTTGCCTTATGTGAACCCATCTTAGGAAAGGACTCAGATTGGGAGCCGCTTAGTCACTTGAGACCTCTCTTCCTTGACCTGCCTCCTTCCGGTGGTTCTAGGGCCTCGTGGATCTCATTTCTTCTCGCTATCCTGGGGGTTTGGGCCTGTGCTACAGCACGTTTCTCCTTTAGTTAGAGACTTGGACTAGTAGGCCAGAGAGCCCCAAGGTGGTTTCACGCAGATAACTCTTGGGCTTCCATAACTCCTCCGATCACACCTGTAGCTCTTCCTTGGAAAACTGACTTCTTAGATGGGATGTGACCCGATAGAGTGCCTGGCACACGTGAAACCCTCGGTTTGGTCCCTAGCACTCTGTAAACTGGGTGCGGTGGTGTGTCCTTGTAATCCAGCCAGGTGGAAGCTAGATCAGAAGTTCAAGGTTGTGCTCATCCTTAGGAGGTTGGAGGGCAGCTGGGGATTGTGAGACCCTGTTTCCAGATAAGTAAATAACAAAGAGAGTTTAGAGTTCAGGTTGTTTGTTGATAGAAATTTGTAAGGGTTTTGGTTTTTACCTTGCTAGCAAGCGCTTCATAAGCTACATCCCTAACCCTGAACAAAGGGGAAAAGGTGAAGTTCCCTCCAGCAGCGTTGTGTCTCTCCCTCGCTCCAGTGGAGCAGGAGCATTCGCGTTGCCTCCCTCCCGCTAGGCTCTTGCACCCACACATCTGCTGTCGTAAGACTAGTGTGTTGTGTGTGTGTCCTGCGAGTTACATCTGTGTACATGGCCTCACTCCGTATCATGTCTTCTTTGCGTCAGGCCTTTTTATGGCTGAGTAATATTTCATAGTCTGAGTGGACTACATTTGGTTTATTCGACCAGTGATGGATGTGTGTGCTGTTTCTAGTTTAAGGCTTCTCTTTCTTTCCCTTCTCTGAGAGACAGGGTCTCATTATGTAGCCCAGTCTGGCCTTCACCCCTTGATCTTCCTGTCTCTGCCTCCTGCATGTGTGCACACCACCATGCCTTGCTGAGTTTCTTTTTTCAATTATAGAACATTTCAAGCACGGAGAGATGCCAAGGTTTTGTTTTGTTCGTTTGGACTGACTTCAGAAGGCAGGAAGGAGGCCCTGGGCGTGACAGGAACTGGACATGGCGCTGCCCTGTGCACAGCATGGCTGTGTAACCTCCATCCCCTGTTTGGGGGTCTCGGGAGCTGAGAGGTGCTGGGGTTCACTCCCTGCCAGAGTCTCTTAGCTGCTGGGGAGTCCTGTGGAACAGATGAAGTATATTCTAGCATAAATCTCCCTTTCGGAAAGGAGGAAAAGAAAACTAGAAGATTTCGTCGTGCCCCCACACCCACCCCATCCCGAAAGCTGCAGAAGGACTATTTTTGTGTTGCCTCTTTTTATCCTGGTGGCTGTAAATAGTTGAGAGATGGCAGTTACAGAGATAAAAATGCTAATTCCAACCTGGAAAGGAGAGATGGATGATCCTACAGGAAGTGGGGGGAAGGGGGAGGCCAGGATCTTGCCCTCTGCCCTGAGAGGTTGCCCAGGAGGCAGAGCTGAGGGAAGGCTAAAGGTGTTGCCCAAGTGTTACTGTTAGGGACACTTAAAGGGAGGCAGTGGTTAGATGGGGGGCAAGGTGGGGAGCACATTCCTGACCCTGTTTAGGTTTTTTTTTTTTTTTTTTGGTTTTTCGAGACAGGCTTTCTCTGTACATAGCCTTCGCTGTCCTGGAACTCACTTTGTAGACCAGGTTGGCCTTGAACTCAGATACCTGCCAGCTCTGCCTTCCTAGTTCTGGGATTCATCTGCCTCCACGCCTAGCTCTGTTGCACTTTTAATGTACATCGAGGGCCACGTGGTGGTGATGCACGCCTTTAATCCCTACACTTCCCTACACTCGGGAGGCAGAGGCAGGCCGATCTCTGAGTTCAAGGTCAGTTTAGTCTATAAAAAGTGAGTTCTGAGACAGCCAGGATTACACAGAAAAAAAAAAAAACTTTTTCTCTAGCGGGGAGTGGGAGAACGTACATTGGGAATATTGCATTTTAAGCATCTGGCAAGAGAGATTGCCTTTAGGTTCATCTCAGACCTGCACACCCATTCTGGGCCCAGGTGTAGGGGCAGGTGGCCCTGTCCCTGTTTCCTGACTTGTCCCTGTTTGGGAGGGCATGTATACTTCAGGTGGGAGAGGGAAAGTGGTGATTTAAACAGTCTGTAGACAAGGCGGGATGAGGAATGGATGAATAGAGTGTGGGTGGGGGAGACAGGATGCCCATGGTGCCATCTGGGCCCCCGGTCTCTGACTGGCCAGGCTGTGCGTCACTGGAGTGGATCTCTTCCCCTTACAGATTGGAATCTCATTTATTTCACTGGCTCTTCCTTTGGTTCCGTGGAAGACAGGCAGGGAGTCAGTCTGCGTGTCTCAAGTTTTGCGTCCCTGAAACACCGTACTCACTCAGGTGCAGTGCAGCATGCCAGTTTGGATGTGAAATTATGTTCACTTTTGATTTGGTAACAAACGAGGCCTCGGACTACAGCTAGCAGGGAAGGTAGAAAAAGGTTTAGTTACCGTGGTGAGATTAGAGATTCTGATTTGAAGCCTGAGCGTTGGTGGTGCACACCTTTAATCCTAGCACTCGGGAGACAGAGACGGGTGGATTTCTGAAGGATCTCTGACTTAAAGGACAGCCTGGTCTACAGATCTAGTTCCAGGGTAGCCAGGACTCTGTAGAGAGACTCTGTCTCCAAAGCCGCCCTCTCCCCCTCCCCCCCCCAAAAAAAAGAAAAATTCAGAATTGTTTTTAGTATAAGTTAAAGCCAGTTAAGGAGCTTTTATTTTCCCCTCTTTTTGGGGGAAGGATGGTGTTTTGAGACAGGATTCCTCTGTGGCCCCAGCTGTCCTGGGACTCTTTCTGTAGACCAGGCTAGCCTCAAATTCTGCCTCTGCCTTCCATGCTGGGCTTAAAGGCATATGTCACCACTGCCTGGCTTTTATTTTCTTATTTTACGCTTATGTTTGTGTGAGTATATGTCATCTGTATGC